GCACTGCCTCGGCCAGGCAGTCAAGGTCACCGTCACACGTCCCCTTGGTGTGAAGCACTGATGGCTCTTCACACCTGTGGTCTCCTCCCAAAAGCACGGTACCCTGGGCCCATGGTGAGGGAGCCACCAGGCCAGTCCCAGTTGAGACAAGTCAAGGAAGTGCCTGCCAGTGCTCCTCAGAGCCAAGGTCATCAAGGACCAGGAGGAACGAGACCCACCCTGGCCCAGAGGAAGTGGGAGTGTGTGCCAGCTGCGTGCCCCATCCTGGTGGGCCCCTCTGGGGACCCTGGAAGGAAAGGAGACCAGGAAAAGCCAAGAGGTTGTGGCCGACACCTGGACCCTGGCTAACAACCTGTATCCACTGTGGTCGTCGCTTGGGACAAACCTCTGTACCCTGGGGGACGCTGACAAGAGGGGAACAGGACACAGGGAACTCTCACTATGATTCACCGTTTTTCATCTAAAACTCTTGCAAAATAAAAAGTCGACTTTAAGAGTCCACGCGCGCTCATTGTACCAAACGTGGGAAACTCGGAAGCGCCCGGGAGCGGAGCCAGACCCCGGGCACCGCGTCCTGTCCCACGGTCAAGTCCGCGCAGGTTCTTCTCACAGCAGAACTGGGGCTCCACCTGACGGTGCTCTGTTAGGATGGAATTCCAGGTTCAGGGGTGGGGGGGTGAGGCCAGGAGAGAGGGCACCAGGAAAGTCTCCTCCGGGGTTCGCCTCCTGCCACTGACTTAGGACATTAGGGTCAATGACAAGCCTGGACTTGAAGAAGGTTCTCTGACTTCTATGTGTGCAAGTTCAGGTGCCCAGAGAATCCTCTAAACAAACCAAAATCTCCCAAAGAAGGCGTCCCCCCTCCCTGCCCCTCAGAAGCTCAGCACTGGCTTCCCCCCCCTTGGACACCAGAGAGCCTTCCCGTAATGACACCCCGGGCCTCAGTAAAGCTGTCTCAGGACGTCAATGGCCCAATTTAACTCTCCCCAGAGAGGCCAAGTCCACAAATAGCTTGCAACGTATGCTATCGTCACTCATGGCTGGCTCCAGATGACGACCAACATGGCAATTGGCACACCTGGATGACAGTTTCTCTTTTACCATCCAGATGTTCAAGGTCCTGTCAACGTATCTGCCACGACAGCTGGGCCACAGGACAGCCCCTGACCCCTGGCCTTTCCCAGAAAGAGAAAGGGACCAAAAGGCACGTCCCCCTGGAGTCAGCCAAGGACCTCAGCCAGAATGAAGCTCCTGGACAGGACATCCAGTCGGCAGGCTACCCCCCTGTTCTCACGCCTCCTCTGGCTCTGGAACATTCCATGGCTCCCTGTGGCTCACATTACAGGCATGGTTCTCAAGTGGGAGTGACTGTTGCCCGTGGCTGGGGCCCTGATTGATGGGGAGGGCAGCATCTCTGTTGGCATCGGGTCACGCAATGCACACATCCACCCCTCTCAACAAAGAACTCTCCAGACCCAGCCACCGATGATGCACCATAGAGAAGGTCCAGATTCATAGCTTGTCACTCACAGCCCTCATCACCTTCTCCACCCCAACCCCCAGGCTGGTCTCCATAGAGCCCTGCCCAAGCCCCGCCCCCCACTGACACACACACACACACACACACACGCACACACGCACCCTGACACGCCAGCTTCTTGTCCGTCCAGGTAGACTCTGCGCCTCCCACAGTGCCACCACCTCCGAGAAGTGACCCACACATTCTCCAGTTTGTGCGTGGGGACTGGATGCGGCTTGACCATTTCCAGGTGAGGACCTCAGGGTTGAGAAGAAACCTCAAGAGACGCGCTGCCCTGAGGTCTGCCTCTGGTGAGCCCTTTCCCCGGCCACGGCCACCAACACTGAGACCTCAGAAGGCCGACAGAAGAGCCTGCTTCCCGCTTCTCTAAAAGTCAGAAGAGCAGCTGCCGGTGCCCGCAGTCCCCCGTGGTGACAATGAGCAGAAATGAAGAGCAGCCGCCAGGGAACACGGAGCCGGGCCCCCAGGCCACCGCAGGCCCACCTGCCCACAGGAGCCCCACATGGGCTGTCTGCACCCCGCCGTCAACACCCCCTCGCCTCTGACTTTCTAAAGAGGAAACAGATCAGAGACAGGTGGCCTGAGGCCACACAACCAGGTAGTGGCAGAGCTGGGGAAGGACCCAAGGACCTCTTGTAGGGACACCTCTGCAAACCTCACCGTCCTTCTGAGAATACTGCAGAGTCTCAGAGACTGAAGGCCCTAAAGACTAGACATGGGGACAGTTGAGGTGTCATCTGCCACTCCCAGCTCTTGCATGGGCAGGAGCTGAGCAGCACAACCTCTGCCCTCCTCTCAGAACAAAAGGGGAGACCCTGTGGAGCACCATTCATAAGGAAACAAGCGACCGTGCAGCACCCGGTAGAAATGAGCTCCTTGTCTTCACGGCGACCCTATTATTGTTTGCTTATTATTTTCATCCCCATTGGTTAGATGAAGAATGGAATCAGAGAAGGTAAGTAAGTTGGCCAAGACTGCACAGTACAGAAGCAGGGAGGCCAGATGTATACACAGGGGTCTGGCCCCGAGGCTGTCTGCTAACCCTTGACCGCACCAGCCCTGAGGGCCAGCTCTTCCCACAGCCCTGGCCACGCTGCCTGCAAGCACAGCTAAAGCAGCCAGGTCTCAGGGTGTGCAGCAGGCCGGAGCGGCTTGCAGATTTAGGCTGATTTTGAGGAAGTTCTTTCAGGCTGATGAGAGAACTATCAGCCACAGGCCGTGCCTGAGTCACCCTGGCAGGAAGGTGCTGAGTCTGGGGGAGCTGGGTGTGGCCAGAGTCGGGGGAGGGTGTGGATCGGGACAGGACAGAACAGGACCCCAAACTTCAGCCACCCCAGACAAGAAAGAGCCTTGACTCTGGGGGCTGTGACTTGCCCAGAGTCACACTGAGATGACAAAGACAAAGGCTTCCTGCCGCTCAGCACACAGCAGCCCCCAGAGAGGAGCCCCCCAGTGCCACTCCCGCTGGCTGCACAGTCGCTGAGCCTGCCAACATCTCCCTTTGGTGGCAGAGGCCATGGCTGGGCTGAGCCCTAGGCCAAGAGGGCTTGGCTCCCTCCCATAAGAAGCACGAAGGGGACAGTCCGTGTCCAGCCCTTGTCCAGCCCATGTCCAGACCCTGGGGCAGCGCAGCCTGTCCAGGCCCAGTGCAAGAATCAGAGTCTCCAGGGTCCCCATTTGTCGGGGAGAATTGAGGCCCTGAGCTGGAAGGGATGCCCAGGGTCCAGCAGAGAGGGGGCAGGCAGCAGGTGGCGGGGCTCAGCAGGCGCCACACGCACACACACACACACACACACACACGCACAGCACACGCACACACACCTCGCCCGGGAACCACACACTCACCACATGGTAGATGGCCAGGGCGGTGGTGACTACCCGGACATTGAAGCAGCAGCAGGTCTGGCGGATGGGTGCCGCGCGTGGGGCCATGATGCCGCTGTCCCCTCCTCTGAGTCACTGAGGGGGAAGGAGCCCAGCGCCTAAAGCAGGGCAGAAAAGGGGAAGCTGCAGGCTGCCCGCCTCACTTCCGTCCTGCCCGCAGACAGGCAGGGGCAAGGTCGTCACAACTGGGGCGGGCAGCTCTGCAGTGGGCGGGGAAGGACAGCAGCCTGCTTCAGAGGACCCCGTCAGCCTTCGTCACTCCCAGGGACCTTGGGGGAAGGCGGACCCCTATTCCCTCCCTACCTGCCCTTTGCCAGATCCAGACAAGCAGCTGCACACACCCTACTTCCTGGATGCTCACCACCACCCCTGGAAGCCAGGATGGTGGCCAAGTCCATTGCTAGTTAAAAAAAAAAAAAGAGGTCCAGAGAGGTCAAGGCACTTGCCCCAAATCACACAGCAGTTAGTGACAGGATTCAAACCTAGGTCTGTCTTGTTGTAGAGAAAGCCATCGTCCAGTCAACGGTGCCCCGTGTTCTAGGCATGCACTGCATAAGCTCCCACACTCCTCCTCTCAACCCTTTGAAGGAAGGGCTATTATTATCCCCATTTTACAACTGAAGAAACTGAGGCACAGAGAGGGAAAATTACTTGTCCAAGGTCATTTGTCCAGTCAAAGAAGGAGCAGGATTTGAAGTAGAATGACTGCTTCCAGAAGTCACTCCTAGAGCTGAGGGTCTTCCCATCACTCCCAACTAGGTCAGGAGGAGAATTCCTACGCAAAGCCACCAGGAGTCAGACCCAGACCCGGGCTCTCCCTCCGACTCACCTGTAACTCCTCATGGCAATCTGCAAGACCTCGTGGAACCCGCTTATGGGCCTCAAGCCTCCCTGACACAGGAAATCAGGGGGTTCTTTTCCTCCCTGGATCTTAGGAAAAGTTGGAATTCGCCCCGCTCACTCGCAACATAGCAAACAGCCCAGGAGCAACTGCGGGGAAGCCCCGCCCTCCCATGGCATCACAGAGTTTGGATTGGACACCACAGCAGCCCATCATTTCTGCCCCAGGAGAGGTTATAAAAAGTCTCTAAGCCCCTTTGCCTTGGCAAAAGTTGCTCGGTCGTGCCCATAAAACTAGGCTGGTAGACTTGATCTAACTTTTTTCTGTCAACCAATGAGACCAAGAGGACTCTGCAAGTTTGGGGTTCCTGGGAAATGCAGCCAGACCCTCTCCTACTTCATTTCCAAGCCTGTTTCTTTTCCTTCACAAGCTTTGCTAAGCCCTAACATCTCAGCAGGGGACTCAGAGCAGTAATTACCCTTGCTTGAATGCTGGCTCCTCTGGCTGGGTAGCCAAGGCCACGAGAAAATCTGCAAAGCCAGGGGAACTAGAGGGTCAGAAAGCGGGGGTCAAGAGAGCTCTGAGGCCACTCTGAGGTGTCTGCATTTGATTGTGCTGGGAAGCCTCTGGAAGATTCTATACCATAATAAAAGAGAACCGTTAGGAACACTATGGTTTGGTGAAACCAAAATAGGTGTGGAGTCGATTCTCAAAGAGAGGAATGAAGCACATCGATGGTGTGTGACACAATTTTATGATCTATGAATGAACATTTTTCATTTTTATAGTGATAAACTCATTTTAATGTGCAGTACAAAAATGTACATAACTAGCCCATGAATTCCACTTATGGGAGAAACATAGTTTCATTTAAAAACAGATGCATTTAAATTAAAAAGCAGTAAGCTGATTTAAAGAAAATATGTTAAAAGTCTAACATGCACACAGATGTAGCAGACAGCCAAGTAGCTGGAGTGGAAATCCCAGGGCCTGGGAAATCCGAGCTCCCTAAGTGGCTGTGTGATCTCAGGAAAAGTGCTTGATCTCTCTGAGCTGTTGTTTTCACATTTGCAAAATGAGGCAGGAGTTTGCTTGGCAGGCTGTGGTAGAGATGAAATCGGGTCACGTGAATGCGTCTGTTTATTTCCTCCTTTCCAGTCCCTCCCTGCTCCCCGTCACAACCATACTCTGGTCCCTGGGAGGAGGAAGGGGTAGGATTTGAACCTGACCTGTGGATCCCAGTCCTGAGCTGATCACAAGCAGTGTTCCCCACTGGCCACTGTCTCCTTCCAGAGCACTGGAGTTCTGATAGAGACCTTCGTTCCTTGCCTGGTCCCACACATGCAGGTCCTGGGTGGGGTTCTCAGTCACTCCCAGTGCAATGCCAGCCTGACCCTCTTGATTTTTTCTACCCACCTGAGGACCGAGCAAGCTCTCCCGCCACGACACACACAGACACCACCTCCTCGTTCCTGAATTGTGCCTACGTTATCTTATACGGCCAAGGGCTCTGCAGATGTCGTTAAGTGACGCAACTCCACATGGTGTGTTCCTGGATGGGTGGCCCAATGTCATCCAACAGGTCCCATAACTGAAAGACAGACAGGGATATCAGGGCCAGAGACTGGACGGTGCTACGCTGTGGGCTCTGAAGATGGCAGAAGGGGCCACGAGCCAGGAAGGCAGGCAGGCAGCTTCCGGAGGCTGGCAGAGGCCAGGGAATGGACTCCCCTCTAGGGCTCCGTGCCTTGATTCTAGGCTGGGGAGACCCATGTGGGTCTCCTGGTCTCCAGGACAATAAGGTAACGGTTGATGGCAGTTTGTGACAACAGCCATGGGAAGCCCATAAAGCTGCTCAGCAGAGTCCCCAGGCAGCCGGGGCCCTCTGGCACTGGAGCCTCCAAGCACCCGTCATGGAAGCCACAGCCCCCAGCCACAGTAGCGCAGCCCTTGACTTCCTCACTGTGTGAGCCTGGCCAGCTGTGAACTTCTGAGCCTCAGTTTCTTCCTGTGCGAGATGGGCTAACGGAACACCCACGTCATGTGTGAAGATCAAACAAGAAGAGGAACACACAGCGCCAGTGCTGCAGACAGCCTTATAGCCTTTTTCCACCTCAAAAGATGCGTCTGAGCTTCTCCTCGCCACCTCCCCCGCCCCCGTACCAGGGATGGCACTCAGAGGCACTTAACCACTGAGCCACATCCCCAGCCCTTCTTTTATTTTTTTATTTTGAGACAGGGTCTTGCTAAGTTGCTTAGAGCCTAGCTAACTGGCTGAGGTTGGTCTCAAACTTGTGATCCTCCTGCCTCAGCCTCCCAGGCCACTGGGATTCCAGGAGTGCACCCTGCTCAGCCCCGACCATGGGCAGAGCCGTGGATACTCAGACCGTCCCAACTCACCAAGATAAGGCTGGGGAATGTTCCACACTCCCATGGTCCCCATGGGGCAGATTAGAACCTTGAAACCAGCTTATAGAACTGTCCTTGGTAAAGTTATTTCAGACAAAAGAGCTTCTAATCTGACTTCGGAGATTATTCCTGAATCCGAAAGTCATCTTTAATCCCCAAAAGCCTGAAGCCCTGGCTGGTCATCCTGCTCAGTAGAGTGCCGCTGCGGTTATTAATATTTACACAGAATCTCTGTTTCCTCAAAGGCACAATGGCTCTCGAGCTTTCTTTGTTAAGTAAGAAGAACATTATTGGAACTTCCCTCTCCACCCACAGGCCTGGAGGTAAAAATAAACTCCTTGATGCTGCCAGGTTTCAAACTTAAACAAAGCTTTTGCGAGTCATGTGTCCTTTCAATTACTCTAGATGAAGCACTTAGGAGCTCTTGGGTCACAGCAAGTGTCACGGTGGGGGCTTTTTTGATTACAATTGTTACTATGATTATCTCTGTTCTCAGTTAACCCTGACTGGGGGGCGCCTCTTGAGCCCCAGAGGGGTGAGGAAGGCAGGGAGAGCTGTTGTGTGCTCCTGGCAGACCCAGGGGACAGTGACCTACTGCAGAGCAATAGCAGCAGAACCTCTAGAAAGCAGGTCTTCCTGGGGACTGCTGCTTAGGAGGCATGCCAGGGAGGGAACAGCGAAGGGCAGCTCCAAGGAAGGTCAGCTTCCTACAGTGACCATCGGGCAGCAGGAGACCCTGACTTGAGGCCATGTGGCCCACACTCTGCTCTTCAGCTAGGCAGTTTAGGCATGATACTGCCTCAGGTTCTGCAGGCCGAGACCCAGGGTAATAGCCCCGGAGGCCAGGAGGAACGCTGGCCCTAAGTACCCAGGGCAGCCATGCCGGTGTCCTCCGGCTGAAGCTCAGCTCCGAGCACTCCCCGGGGTGCAGCACTTCGGGCCGTGGGCACAGTGCAGTTGAGGGCAGCAGAACACTGGCTTTGGAGCTGGGGGAGCGGGCTCCCCTCTTGCCTCCCAGGGGTGCTGGGGTGCCGGGGGGTGATCCCTGTCTCCTCAGTGTCTGTCAACTAGCACTGAGCTTGGGGTCTCAGGCCCCTAGAAAGTAGGCAGGTCAGGGCACACCTGCTACTAACACCCCAGAAAGAAGAGCCTGTGAGGGCATTTCCCCCAGATAGGGGATTTTTATCTAATCAAACAAAAATAACACCACCACACAACAAAGTGATAGGTCTCGTCCAGGGTAAGGGTGGAGAATTAAAAATAAAAAACAAGACAAAGGACTACTATTTATGCTTTGGCCAACGTGCTATTAGGCACTTCTAGGAAACCTACAATCTTTTTCATTTGAAAGGGACAGACTTCATGTCTACTCATGGTCCTCACGCCTTTCGAAACTCCAGCCAGAGACATAGTTACAGTGGCCGGAGGAACAGAAGTCATTTTGGGATCATGAGGACAAAAATGCCTTATAATGTGAGAAAAGGAAGCCCTGTCCGGGTCCCCTGACTTCATTCACAATTCAACAAGAGGCTTGCTACAGGTGTCCAGGACGTGTTATCACACACCCAAGGCCCCTCCTCTCACGGAGTGAGCACCCTAGTGGGGAGTCAGTACACGAGGACATTCATATAAAGTGACGATTCTCAGTCGTGCTGTCCTAGCTTGGCTTCGGGTCTTAACTAGAGCACAGCTTTGCCACCCGACTTGGGGCTGGTCACTCTCCCACTCCAACCTCTGTTTTCCTGTCTGTAACATCAAGGAGGTGTCCAAATCCACCATCTCTGAGCCCTGTCCCCCTCGGCCAGGCTCTGGGGCCAGGTGAACTACTCTAAGCAGCTATTCCCAGGTTAGACGCCCTCCAGCAGGACTGAGCCCTCAAATTCCTCGGCACTGGGTAAACAGCCAGGAGGCCCCGTCGGCCATCCCAGGCCTCCTGACTGCAGCCCTTTCAGGGCCGCCAATAAATCTCAAGCAAGTGCTGAAAGATCAAACCCCAGCCCCCTGCAAGCTGAGGAGCCTGATGGTGCCCCAGGCCTCTCCCGGGCAGTGCTTGGCGCAGCCGTTAGCAGGCTGGGAGGGCCATCCATGAAGGGCCACCCCGCCAAGGGGGCCAGGCCCAGCAGTACCCCCGCTGGCCCTGCCCAGCTGGCCGCTGAGCACCCTGCTCCACGATGTACCCACAGGCCTGCCACCACCTCTGCTTAATCCGTTTCAATGCTCCATCCAGGATGACACCACCGTCCTCCCCACTGCCCAGCAGGGCTGACCTCCGCCGGGTCCTCCCCCTCGGCTCACTTCCTCCCCTTGCCCAGGCCTGTGGTTCTGCTCCCCCTCAGCTCCCAAGTCTCTCTGCTTTTCTCCATCCCCACAGCCAGGGTCCAGCTGCCACCCCCCTGGCCTTGGCTGTGGAGCAAGGCTGGGGCAGAGAGCAGGCTCCTCCAGGCAGGGCAGCTGTCAGGCCCCAGGCCAGGGCCCTCTTGTCAAGAAGTGTCTGAAGGGCGCGTGGGCCTGGCCACCAATTCACAATCCCTAGAGACAGACAACGGAGAGCACTTGACACATGAGGAGACCGGCTAGGACATGTCTGACTGAAAGGCCACCCCACCCCCAGAGCCACTCCACGGAGGGGCCTGAAGTCCACCACACATGCCTATGAGGATGGGGACCCACCCAGATGCACAGGGGACCCGTTAGCCAGGCTCACACCAGCCTCACTGTCAAGGAGCTCGCCTGTGCCACTGACCCCGCCCAGGGCAGGAGTGAGGTGCACTCATATGGCAATAGCGACACAGGCCCCTGCCCGCAGGGGGCCGCCCTGGAAGCAGGGTGTCCGTGTGGGGCGAGGGCCTCCATCACTCCTAGCCAGATGGGGCTGCCTGGAGGCCCGGGCCGCAGGTGCTAGACCCAGTGACCCCAGCAAAAGCTCAGTTGGGGAAGGCAGGTGCAGGGGGTCGGTAACAGTCCCAGCATGAGTAAGAGTGTCGCAGGAGGGGGACAATACCACCTCTTAGTAAAAGCCATGACCGAGATGACACCAGCTGTCTAAAAATACCTCCTTAGAGAGGTGTCAGGTGTGGGGGAAGTCCACAGATCCTGGAAGGGGACCAACCTGGTTCACATCCCGGATCTGCCCTCACAAGCTGTGTGACAAGTGTCCGTCTCACTGCCTCTCTGGGGCCCCCGCTTCCTCATCCGTAAAATGGAGACAACAGCCAGTCCTTCTTGCAGAATTACTGTGAAGACTGAGGTGATGACGAGGAGACTGGGTTGGGCCTGTGGCCTCTGAGGCCCATCCCTCTCTCAGACTGTCACAGGTTCTCCTGTGACCATGCGTCCTCCGGGCTGCTTCTCAACAAGCCCCGACCAGCTCGGACGCTCTCTGTGGCTCCCCGTGGCCTGTGGGATTCAATTTTTTTCCACAACCAGACAACTGAGCCCGAGTTGTTCCCACTAGGCAGGGGCTGCCACTGTCGGCGGCTTCCTGGTGGAGCCAACACCTTCTCTGAGGCACAGTCCTGATCGAGCTCCTGTCCCAGGTCCTACAGAGCAGGACAGTCAGGCCCAGGGCCCCTGCAGGTATGCTCCCCACCCCCAGGAAGCCTTGGTCAAGGGGGCTTGAGAGTACAAGGCCTGAAGTTGGCACTGGTATCACAAGCATCGGCCCCACCCCACTCCCCCAAACCTCCATACGCTAGAGGGAAATGTGGGGGTGTTTGTGGTTGGAGAAGCAGCCATTTCCCACTGGGGCCATCTGATGTTGACATTTTCCACACCCACCCCAGCTGCTTTGCTGAGTGATGTAGCCTTGTGCTCCTGGGGTGGTGGGGGGGCTGTGCTTGCCCCAGAGAGGGTTCCCAGGGATGATAGAAGGTAGCAAGGATGTCCACAGCCTACAGGGAGCTGGCCTCTCTTGGGCATCATCTCTTGCAAGGAGAGATGGAGAGCGGTTTGCCCCGTTTTACAGAATGAGCTGCAAAGGCTGCCAGGCTTGGTGTGGGGGGGTGGTTCAGATTGGGGCTCATGCTTGGAATCCTGCACGCGCCACCACACTGTGTGTCCTCCCATTGCTGCTCAGCACCAAAGGGACTTTGAGCCATGGATGGGGTGTAGACCTTCTCTGCTTTCCCTGCCTCACCACCAGCCCTTATTGAGGCCCGAGGTGGTCCCATTCGCCCTTCTCCCTCCAGGGAGTCGCACCTCAGCCACTTGCTCTTTAAAATCATTTTCTGGCCAGGCAAGTGGGGGTGGGGGGGGCACCTATAATCCCAGCAACTCAGGAGGCTGAGGCAGGAGGATCGCAAGTTCAAGGCCAGCCTCATCAACTTAGCAAAACTCTGTCTCAAAATAAAAAATGAAAAGAACTGGGGATGCAGTTCAGGGGTAGAGCACTCGCAGGTTCATCCCCCAGCACCAAAACAAACAAATACATAATAAAAATGGATTTTTGAATAGAGTACAAATGAATGAGGTACAAAATTGAAACTGAATCAAAGAACATACAATAAAAATAAGCCACCACCCGGCTCCTCACAGCTGGGCTGTCGAGCTACCTGGGGCAGACCTATTACTTGGTTTCTGATATTTCTTCTAGAGATTTCCATTATTGAAAATGGCGGCATCCCTTAGGCCTGTTCCAAGCCAGGTGTTCTTCACCTAACATTTGGAGATTGTTCCTTTAGATGAAGAGCAGGCCGGTCTTTGTTTCTTTAAGAACAAAGTGTTCCTTTGAGCAGCTATCTCTAATTAAACAATCTGCAACCAGTCAACATGTCCTTTTTTGTTGCTATCACTGAATACCACAGATGGGTAATTTATAAAGAATAGAGGTTGATTTGGCTCAGGGTTCCGGAGGCCAGAAGTCCAAGAGCAGGGTGTTGGCATGTGGCGAGACCCTTCTACCGCATGGTAACGAGGCAGAGGGCAGGGCGTGGAGAGACCAGGCAAGCACTGTAGTGGGGTCTCTCTTCCTTTTCTTATGAAGCCACTAATTGCATTATGGAGTCCCCACCATCATGACCTCATCTAACCCTAAGTACGTCCCTAAGGCCCCACCTCCAAAAGCCACTGAGATACAAATTGGGGGATTAAGTCTCCAATACAGGAAACTGGGGGAACACATTCCAATCACAGCAGGACATTAGAGTATTCCCAATTGTGAGTACTACCGCAAAAATATTGTCTGTGTGTCGTTTCCAGCTGTCTGAGTGCATGTGTAAACTGGGTTCCTAAGAGTGCGCTCCCTGGGTTAAGGGTACAGGTGCTCCCACCCTCATCGACATGGGCAAACTGCTCTTCACAGAGTTATGGCCAATTTATGTGGCCACAAGCCACGCAGGAGGACGCCCGTCTCCCACAGGCCCACCAACACAGAGTGACCAACCTTTTCAACTTGCCGACACGCTGGGCAAAATGGTCAGCATGGCAGACATACTCTTCTTATAAGTAAAGAGTATGTCCACGGGGCTGGGGCTGGGGCTGGTGGCAGAGCACTTGCCTTGCATGAGTGAGGCACTGGGTTCGATCCTCAGCCCCACATAAAAATAAAGAGATAACTAAAGATATGGTCCATCTACAATGAAAAAAATATTTTAAAAAATAAAATAAAAAAAGAGTCTGTCCACGGAGCCGGTCACCTGGCACACACTCTGCCGCTGGAGTCCAGGTGAGATCTGGGACGGGCAGCAAAAAGGCCACAGAGGGGACTTTGTGCTCCAGGCCTGGCAGGCCCCCCTCTTCCAGGCTCAGTCAGGCATGGGAGGCCGTGTGGCATGGAGAGGGGGCAGGCGGGCTGTCCTGCCTCATACCAGCTGCACACAGAAACAACCAGCAGGGTGTGGGACACCGCTGCCTGGACCCAAAGGGCTGTGACCTTGTTTTGACTTTGAGTGTCTACAGGCAGGCACACCCCTCCCAGCTCGCCACGGTCCCCGGACCCGACTTGGCAGGGCATATGCATCAGAAGATGTGAGCTGGTAGTCTGCAGGGAGAGAAGTCATGGCCGTGAGCATCCCGAGTCCCTCACGACTCAGAGACAGAACCGGAACTCGGGATTCCTGCCCCTCGGTCTAGGGCTTGCTGACCTGCCTTCTCCTGCCTCCAGAATCTGCAGGAGAAAACAGAAACATTCCCAAGGAAAAGAACAGAGAAAACAAGAGTGTTCTGCTAGCCCCCTCGCTCACTGTGACCCAGGGCGTGGTCCCTATCCATACCGAGGACAGATGGACCAGAAGATGGAAGGCTCCGGTGAGCTCCTGATTCCCCGTCCCCCGGAAGACCTCAGGGGACAAGCCACACATTCCTTGGGCCTGTTCCCCACGAGCTAATATTGATGCGGGCTGTTTCCTTTGGCGGAGCACAGCGGTGGTGTTTGCTCTGGCGGGACCCCAGCCTCACCTGCACCCCTCTGGGCCTCAGCTGTGCTGGCCCAGGCGGGAGAGGCCGGGTCAGGAACGTGCGATTTGCAGGCTGAGGGGCGAGGCGGAAACCGCAGGGGCCCAGGCGCTCTCCCGTGCCACCCACCCTCCCAAGGCGTCCAGTGTGTTTTAAAAATAAGAACTGCCCAACCACAGTAATGAAACTTTTTTCTTTAATATCATAGTTCCTAAACAGACTTTTTAAACACACACACACACAACACACACACACGCATGATACAATGACTGTGTGTTCGAGCTCATTTGGGAATCAGATGGAAAACTTAGTATGAGCCCTGACCCTGGAGACAGGGCTGATTCCAGGGATGAGCCAGAAAAAGGACAGGATAAGCCCAGAACATCCTTTTGTGTCAGAGAGTAAGGAAGGAGCCAAAGAATAACAGAGACATCTTTGGGGACAAGGAGCCAATGTGAAAAGGCTCCCCCAAGCTCCTTTGAAGCATTAAAAAAAAAAAAAAAGATAATGACAGTAACACACTGAAAAAACACAAAACCTTAAGTCCATACAGATGTGAATAAATGAATAAACCACTAGGGAGTCGGGGACAGATGAGCTATCCATACTGTCACCAAAGCCCTTCTCACTACAAAGAAAGGTGAAGGGTGCAGGCCAGGCCCCAAGGACCCAGAAGAATGTCATCAGTAGCAGGGCAAATCCAAACCCAGTACCACCTGGGACACAGGAGCAGCACTTCCTGATGGTCCCCCTCAAGTCACAGGACCCAAACGTCACCAAGAAAACAAGCCCAGTTCAAGGATCATTCACAAAACAACTGGCCTGCAGTCTTCAAGGGTCAAGGACACTGCGTGAAGTAGCACTGGGGCCGCTAGGCTGAAAGAGCCCAAAGACCCGGCCCAGCTCCATGCAAGGACAGTCCTGGAACCTCAGAAGGACCTGGATGGACCGTGAGGATGGCGCAGTGACTCATCAGGCTGTGTGGGGATCCTCACACCAAGGACTGTAGGGAAAAGACCCCAAAAGTTGTGGGGGGAGGCTGGAGCACTATGGAAGAAACTCATTCTCAAAAGGTCAAAACTTGCCGCTTCCCTGAATGTTAGAGATTGTTGGGGGCAGGGGCTTCTCCAATCTAAAGGTGACCCTGAGATGTGAGGAGGGCTCCACGCAGAGCAGGCTCCTCCCACATCCTCAGGTCCTCTCCTTGCAAAGCTCCCTGGCAAGTAAGGCAAGGAGTGGACATCCAGAGAGGGCAAAGCCCTACCTGAGGCTACACAGCAAGTGCAGCAGGTCCTTCTGGGTTTCCCTCTCCTCCCACAGGCCCTCCCATGTGTCCCAGGGATTCTGGGCAACAATGATCCCCTGGAGCCAAAAGCCACCAAACACAGAAGTGCAGAGTTCCACCTTCACTCAGGTAAGTCACCTCCCCTCTCTGGGCTCCGACCCCAGATGCTCAACGCAGACAAGCTCAACCCAGTGCTCCCTGTGGCTTCTTTCTTTGAAGCTGGGGTTCAGGCGACAGCTTGTTCTGGCTCTGACCTGCGGGATGGCCTAACCTGTCCCTCACCCCTCTGCCTTTGCTTTCTTCATCCGGAGAATGTGCCACTGGTTGTCCCGCTCTGCACTTGCCACCCATTCCCCTGGCATGGCAGCTGAACAGGAGTGAAAGACTGTGCCCAGCAGGAGGGGGCCACTGACTTCAAGAGTCCCAACGCCATCCAGAGGAAACGAAGACACTCACCGAACGAAGCAGAGAACTCCTCCTCACCGTCGAGACCAGGCGGGTCCCAGGGATGCGGGAGGACGAGGAGCAGCGGAAGGGCTGGGCTGCCGGGGGCTCTGAGCCCCTGACAGTGGGGGCAGCTTCCACCTGGCACAGGAGCCCAGACCCAGCAGACCATGCCCTGCGCCTGGCGAGGTGCCAAAGGGGCAGAGCG